GTGCCGCAGACGGCTCCGGGGGATGAAAAAAGGCCCCTTGTAGCAAATCCATGAGTTTTTGTAAGAACAATATCCATATTTCAAACGTAATAAACACTTTTCTCTCACTTCCGCTGACTGTCATACACTGAAGCAGTTCCGGCGGATGACGCAGCACATATGCGTTGTGTGATTAGTGACGAATGCGGAGAGAGAACAAAACAAAACGCCGGTCACGAATTAGAAGTACAAACCGAAGATTTGCAAAGAAAAATGTTGGAGGATTTCGATATAAAACAAGAGGAGACTGGTTTTCCTTTGCTAAAGTAAGGAAACTTTGCTTCCTTTGCTCCTATTAAACAAACTCGCGAGACTAGCATATCTCAGAGGCGCGCGCGCTGTGCATACGTTATACGCCTTCCACCGGAACGGATCCGTGTATGATAGATAACAGAAGTGAGAGAAAAGTGTTTATTACGTTTGAAATATGGATATTTTTCTTACAAAAACTCATGGTCATGGATTCGCTACAGGGGGCCTTTATTCATCCCCCGGAGCCGTCTGCGGCACGTTTTATTATGAATGCGCGAGCTTTATTTGACGACTTGTGGACTGTTCAACTGCAACACCCGCTGAGTGCCATTAAACAGCTTGAAAGATCAAAGACAATTTTTAATATAACTCCGACTGGATTCGTCTGAAAGAAGAAAGTCATATAAACCTAGGATGCTTCGAGGGTAAGTAAAACACAAGCTAATTTTCATTTTTGGGTGAACTAACCCTTTAATGCTATTTTTACACCTCTAGTGTGATGGAACAAACACATTCACAGTCACATTTAAGTATGCAAGAGAATTTTGTGTATGGAAAATCCTACTTTAAAATCCTTTCCAGCTGGTTTTTAGAAGTTCGGTTTGAGAAGATCAGTGAATGTTAACTAATGCACAAAGAAATAAACACTTCTCCTAGTTACAGAAGAACTGCTGTTTTCAATTGCCTTTCAGCTGTCAGTTCTACATTCGGTGCGTACATTGAAACGTTTACTGTGTAGAAGGTCTCATCTTTTAAAAGTGGTTAAAGACTCAAGGTGAAAGTGATCAAACCTGAAATTTAGCTGAACTAGTATTAGGATACAGGTAAATATAAATATATTAGAAAACATGATGAATGGCAAAAAAATGAAGACAACACAGTAAGAGGTAGTCAGAATGGAGTAAAGAAAAAACAGACAGACGGAGAGCTGTTTAAACAGAAAACATCTTCACCTTTGACACAAGGCTAGCACGGTACACTGCGAGAGCTTTCAGGTACTCTTTCTTTGCTGCTTCTGTTTTGCTTTTGTAAACCTGTGGAGAACAGAATATGTGAGGTGTGATAAACAGATAATTAGCAGAACACTGACTAGCAAGCATGCGCTTCACAACAGGGAGAGCCTGCAGGCTTTATCTCAGCCGGTAATAAAAACTAAAGAAGGGTGAAAATATCAAGCAGTCTGTTAAAACACCTGACAAAAATCATTCTGTGCAAAAATGAGAGTAGAAATTAGGAACATTTGTTATTCTAGCTAGAGCGAGAAGACTCCAGAACAGACAGCTCCATTTACAGAATTTTACAGATGGTGTTCTTTGTGAGCTTAAAAATATATTTTGTTATTACACAGGATTGCCGTTTGATACCTGTTTCTGCTCCTCTCCCAATCCATCCCACATTGAAGCTACTATCTTGGACACCTCTCCGAACGTGGCGTTAGGGTTCTGGCCTTTAATGGCCGCCTGGGTGTCTCTGAAGAACAGGGCATATGCAGACACTGGCTTCTGAGGCTCATTGGGATCCTTCTTCTTCTTTTTCTTGGGTGTCTTAGGCTTCTTACCTGCGTCAGGGGCGGGACGCTTTTCACCAATCACCTGATGGAGAGAAGGCAGCTTGTTATAAAATCTCACTAATTGGATGTTGATTTAATTCTCAATTAAATGTTATGATGAAAACAGTGCACAAAACATTATGTGGCACTCACCCTGTTTCCTTCCTCTTGATCGTCTTCATTAATAGAGCTGGAGGGAGAGGGTGTGGCTGATTTGCTGGCGGGTGGGGATGGGGACGCATGAGCAAAGTTTGATCCGGTCATATTCAGCCCCAGCTGTGGGTTGATCTGGGACTGGTTGATGGTGGTAAGCTGGTTTTGTGACATCATGCCATTGGGGTTATGCATGCTAATGATGGAGCGCATCACCATGGTGGGGTTTGGAGGGTACTGACGGAGATGGGTCTGCCCGACAGCCTGCAGAGCAAACAGACAACAAAAACATGTTCAGATGTACAAGGATGCATTAAATTGATTGTTACAAAACAATATTACAAAAGATATGTTTTTTTTTTTTACAAATAAATGCTGTTCTGCAGCACAACTGTTACCACGCTGAGCACCAAATCAGCAAATTAGAATGATTTCTGAAGGATCATGTGACACAAAAAACTAAAGTAATGGCTGCTGAAAATTCAGCTTTCCATCACAGGAATAAATTACATTTTAAAATATATTCAAATAGAAAACACTTATATTCAATTGTAATAATATTTCACCTTATTTCATTTTTTTCCCCTGCATTTTCAATCAAATAATTATAGCCTTCTTTCAAAAACTATATTTTAGTGCTAGACAGATTGTGTGTTTTATATGTATATATACAGAGTTCTGGCATGAAACTCTAGATGGCGCAGTCCAATAGGTGTAACTCAATCTGACCTAATGACATCATTATCCCATGGCACAGCTGATTGGTTCTCTCCTGTATCGGTAGCCAATGAGCTCGCTGCTCAACAAACAAATATATGACTAGTGTTTGCTGTAACAGTTTGCAGTGTGCTTCAGAAACCCTCCACCTTACCCAGCTCCACCTGTATAGATCTGCTACGAGGTGATTCATGTACGCTATATGGGGGTTATTTCATGTATGTTATATTTGCAGCAGCAATATTTCTTACATGCTCACAGCAGCATGTTGTGGTGTTATATTTGCAGCAGCAGTATTTCTTACATGCTCACAGCAGTATGTTGTGGATGTATTGGCAGTAGCAAGTCTCGGCAGCAGCAGTGTAGCAGATCTATTCCGCCAAGACCAAATACATTAACATTGTCATGTAAATTACCACGCCAACAGTCATGAGTTGTCATGACAGAATTTTTTTTTTTCCAGACAAAATAGTACAGAACTTAATATTGGCCATTTATCAGTTATTGGCCATAACAAAAAATAATTATCAACTTATTTGTATTAGTCAGAGTTTAAGTATATTTGCAGTTAGAGGAAAATAAAATGAACTGAAATAAATGTATTGGGGGTGTTTGGAGGTGGGGTACGCAGGAACCTGATGTGTTTTGCATTGACTGAACAGTCTCCAAAAGCAACCAGATTACAGAGCAAGAATGAACAGCTAGAGAAAACCAAGAGTTCACTTGATCTCCTTTGTTCATTTTTCATTCTACATCAACTCTCTCTCTCTTTCTCTCTCTCCATCTGGTATTCAGAGACTCAAACTCAATATCTGTATGTGTCAACACATCATAAAGCTGTGCACCTGGTCTTATTGGCCAGACCTGCTGAACCCTCTCCCCTAGTACAAAATTCTAACACCTTCCCTCACACACAGATTACATTTTCTCTGTATTAATTCCCTGGGTACACACAGCTTCATACCGAATCCGTGCCTTATCAAAAAACACAATCTACAAAACAATAGCTGTTTTCAACATCTGTTAGGCTGATGCTGGAAATTTTGCACTATTTTTTTAAAATAAACATACTGTAAAAACTGAAGCAAGTAAACTAGTTGGATAAATGGATAAATAAAAGTATCAATGACAGAACTGCACTGCCACAGAAATGAACATATTTGCATTAGTTTCATCGCTAGAATGCAGTGACAGAGCCAGCAGCAGTCTTTGTGTCAGACCTGTCTTCTGTGTTCATTAGTCACAACCATCTGTGTCTAACACTTCAACTCTAACAGTTAGCGATGCCCCGTATGAAATCACTAGCATTCTCTATGCGTCTGTAATGTAAAGAGCGGAGGGAATCACAGAGATGTAAGGCAGCCTTTGAGATCTCATATTTATCATCAGAGTCTCTGGCTGGGCTTTGTGTTCTGGCTCTCTCCCCCAAGTGAACACTTCAACATGATCAATGATTTGAACATGCAACATTTGTCAGATGACCATATGCCCACTTACTCTTTAGATTTTTTTCATGTACTGACTACGTTGGTAAATGAGGTCTCAGAAACGGTCAGAACTGGTCTTTAGTTTCAGGAGCACTTTGATCCGGTCGCACAAAGCAGAATAGATGTGGAAATAATTCCCGAGGTGGATTATGAAAAAGAGGCTGTGATTTATCTTGAAGCATCTAATGATTTGACAACATTATCTTCCAAATTCCCAATGATCATACAGCAGAAAAAGAAAACATGAGATGATTTTGTATGAAACAGATATTTATGTGTAGAATCGGTAGATGGAAAAGAAAGAAGGCTGAATGGAGCATTCAAACTAAAGCCGCACAAACAGAAGTCAGCTTTTGCTAATAGCAGCCTTTGTAGGCAATGAAAGAAATGTGATTTCTGCTGTCGGAGTGGTTTAGCTGGTAGAATGAGTGAGTCAGTATCCGATCTGTTTATTTATGTCCCTGCTGCACACCCTCCATTTGCATTTTGATTGGAACATTGTCTGCTGACACACAGCTCACATCTACACAGATGCTTTTGATAGTCTTCATAAATCTGTAAATAACTTCTTATCTGAAGAGCAAAGAGGCCAGATGTGCCCTATCCTCTCCTCTGTGTGTTTCCGTGTGCTTGTGCAAATGTTGCTATTATTGCAGCAATCAGCCCATCTCAGCTGACTGTATTCCAGCAAAAAAATAACCTTTTTCTCCTTGTATCTTTATTCCCCAACATACTTTACTACAGGCACAAAAGCTTCCGACATTAAAAGGCGCCAAAAGAGATGCTGACCAAACAGCCACGCCACACAAGGAGCCCCTTGTCCGACACACTGAGACTTTTGACGGATGACTGTTTGGTTCTGCCTTAAACAGTATCCTCACCCCTTTCATCAAAAGCAGCAACCGCAACGAAACAGTCAAGAAAATATACTGGGGGGGGGAACAACCCAGACCTCTTTTTCCAGCATGTGTTCATAACCATAACACAACCAATACTGCTTTCAGACGATCGGGATAAGAATCAGAAGATGCCGTGTCAAAGGCTGAGAGTCTCAGGTCTGCTCTTTAAGATACCGGCCTCGGGACTCTGTGGGGGGTGGGAATGGAATTGGAGAGTTTATTAAAAGCAGCTTGGTATGAGCTGTTCCATTCTGAAAAGAATGTTAACAAGTTCAATTTCCATTAAATCTTTCCGCGGAGCTCTTGGAAATGTTCCATAACAGAAAAAGGAGTAAAATCATCTATATGGTAATTATGAGGATGAATCTTACAAGTTTGGCCAGTGTGAAAAGGTCAGCTCTATTATGAATAGTTTATCAGCCCCCCGCACATATTCACAGCTGCACTGGAACCTTAACCAACATGCTGCTTTATTTTTCAACCATTAATGGGCACCTGCATAACTGGCTCCTCGAAAAAAAAATAAGTAAATGGAATTTTGAATGCTTGCAGAGACCATGGTAGCGTGAAGATAAATTGTTTTCTACTCCTATTTCTCCTCCACCTACTCCACCTACTCTCTCACTCCATCTACAAAACACACACACATTCTCTCGTTTCATGCAGCTCATATACTGTTTATACTGTTCTGGCTCTCTCCCCCAAGTGAACACTTCAACATGATCAATGATTTGAACATGCAACATTTGTCAGATGACCATATGCCCACTTACTCTTTAGATTTTTTTCATGTACTGACTACGTTGGTAAATGAGGTCTCAGAAACGGTCAGAACTGGTCTTTAGTTTCAGGAGCACTTTGATCCGGTCGCACAAAGCAGAATAGATGTGGAAATAATTCCCGAGGTGGATTATGAAAAAGAGGCTGTGATTTATCTTGAAGCATCTAATGATTTGACAACATTATCTTCCAAATTCCAAATGATCATACAGCAGAAAAAGAAAACATGATATTATTTTGTATAAAATACATATTTATGTGTAGAATCGAAAGAATGATGAATGGAGCATTCAAACTAAACCCGCACAAACAGCAGTCAGCTTTTGCTAATAGCAGCCTTTGTAGGCAATGAAAGAAATGTGATTTCTGCTGTCGGAGTGGTTTAGCTGGTAGAATGAGTGAGTCAGTATCCGATCTGTTTATTTATGTCCCTGCTGCACACCCTCCATTTGCATTTTGATTGGAACATTGTCTGCTGACACACAGCTCACATCTACACAGATGCTTTTGATAGTCTTCATAAATCTGTAAATAACTTCTTATCTGAAGAGCAAAGAGGCCAGATGTGCCCTATCCTCTCCTCTGTGTGTTTCCGTGTGCTTGTGCAAATGTTGCTATTATTGCAGCAATCAGCCCATCTCAGCTGACTGTATTCCAGCAAAAAAATAACCTTTTTCTCCTTGTATCTTTATTCCCCAACATACTTTACTACAGGCACAAAAGCTTCCGACATTAAAAGGCGCCAAAAGAGATGCTGACCAAACAGCCACGCCACACAAGGAGCCCCTTGTCCGACACACTGAGACTTTTGACGGATGACTGTTTGGTTCTGCCTTAAACAGTATCCTCACCCCTTTCATCAAAAGCAGCAACCGCAACGAAACAGTCAAGAAAATATACTGGGGGGGGGAACAACCCAGACCTCTTTTTCCAGCATGTGTTCATAACCATAACACAACCAATACTGCTTTCAGACGATCGGGATAAGAATCAGAAGATGCCGTGTCAAAGGCTGAGAGTCTCAGGTCTGCTCTTTAAGATACCGGCCTCGGGACTCTGTGGGGGGTGGGAATGGAATTGGAGAGTTTATTAAAAGCAGCTTGGTATGAGCTGTTCCATTCTGAAAAGAATGTTAACAAGTTCAATTTCCATTAAATCTTTCCGCGGAGCTCTTGGAAATGTTCCATAACAGAAAAAGGAGTAAAATCATCTATATGGTAATTATGAGGATGAATCTTACAAGTTTGGCCAGTGTGAAAAGGTCAGCTCTATTATGAATAGTTTATCAGCCCCCCGCACATATTCACAGCTGCACTGGAACCTTAACCAACATGCTGCTTTATTTTTCAACCATTTATGGGCACCTGCATAACTGGCTCCT